TGTAATCTACTGTATTTCCCTGAAAATAAGACTTAACTGGAAAATAAGCTTTAGCGTGATTTTTCAGGATACTTGTAATATAAGCCCTGCCCCCAAAATAAGTCCCAGTTAATGTCAACAGATTGATGGACACATTTAGTACATCTGATGCGACATAGGATGGATGTATTGAATTATAAAATAATATTAATATATACTTAAATATAAATAAACAATATTGTTGACATTAATAATTAAAATAAATGATAATATAAATTATAAGTATTTACAAATGTATAGGTGGGTGCCTTTGGACGAAAGGTAAGCACCTGTATAAAGAGATGAACTGAAGACTTACTGCCAGATGACCAACTGGAGTATAGACACAATGCATAAATAATATGAGCACCTGTTAACGAAAAGGCTTGGTTGTGTCTAATGTGAATCTTCATAATTCAACACGTTGCACATTGTAATGCGTACTTAACGCACTCGTGAAATAAACGTTTTCTGAAATTTGGTGCTGTTGTGTTGCTTTTGTGTGGACCTTCGTTCTTAACTGTCATCCTTTTTGTTGTCGCTCCTGTCTTGAAAGTCTTCAGTTCACACTGATTTAATGGAAACTTTGTGAAGCCTGGCCTGCAAGAGGTTGTGATGGTGAAGAGTTCATGGGATACAATCAATGATAGCTGTGTTGCCAGTGCACTACGAGCAGGTGACATGGACAAGCAGTGCTCAGTTAAGGAGAGGTCTGTTGCTGGCAGTGACAGACTGGGGACAATGGTTCTGTAGGAAATGGAGTCACAAGAAATTCAGGCTAGAATTCTGGGCTTGGAGAGTGACAGTGTACCAGAAGGTGACATGACTATATTTGAGTAAATGTGGATTTTGTACATGAAAGAATAAGACATACTCTGAAAAATAGCCCTGTTGAATTTTTTTTTTTTTTTTTTTTTGGTCTTTTTGAGACAGGGTCTCGCTGTGTAGTTCAGGCTGACCTTGAGCTCACTCTGTAGCCCAGGCTGGCCTCGAACTCACAACAATCCTCCTGCCTCAGCCTCCCAAGTGCTGGGATTACAGGCGTGCGCCACCACACCCAGCTCCTGTTGCATCTTTTAGAGCAAAAATTAGTATAAGACTGAGTCTTTTTTTGAGGGGCGGGATTCGGTACATCAAGCATATGGCTGTGTTTATATTGTATTTAACAACAGCAAAGCTTATAATAATAAAAGTTCTGAGCTGAGTGATTAAAGTACCACACTATTCCACTGGGAATGTCACAGTATAGAATTAAGATTTGTCTTTTTTTAATTAAGTGTTTTTTCAAATCTGACTCAATTCTAGGTTAATTGCAATATATTTTATTACCTATTCAAAAGTCAGTGTAATGCATGTATTTTTAAGAATGTAGCGGGCGTGGTGGCACATGCCTGTAATGCCAGCACCTGGGAGGCTGAGGCAGGAGAATCTCTGTGAATTTGAGGCCAGCCTGGGCTATACAGTGAGTTCAACGCCAGCCTGAACTACATAGTGAAACCCTGTCTCCAAAAAAAACAAATGTAATTTTTGGCCAGGTATGGTGGTACATGCCTGTAATCTCAGTGCTCTGAGAGGCTGAGGTAGAAGAATGGCAAGTTTAAGTTTAGCCCACACAATTTAGTGACTTAGTGGGACTGTCATAAAATAAATTGAGAAAAGGGCTGGGAGCTAGGACTGGTGGTGCATGCCTGCAATCCCAGCACTTGGGAGACTGAGGCAGGAGGATTGCCGTGAGTTTGAGGTCATCTTTGGCTACATAGTTCAAGGCCAGCCTCAACTACATAGTGAGACCCTGCCTCAAAAAACCAAACCAAACCAAACCAAAACAAAAAAGGCTGAGGATTAGCCCAGTGGTTAACCTTGGGTAAATCGCCAGTGCTGGGGAAAAAAATTCTCAGGCTGGATGTGGTGTGTGCGTAAAATCCCAGAGCTGATAGGCTGAAGCAGGAGGATTGGCAGTTGAAGCCGGCCTGCATTACTTGAGGCCAGTGACCTCACACACACATATCCAGTCTGCCAAAAAACATGTATACACACTTCAGTGGTTTACTGTACTAATAAATGTCTGGAAGCTAATGGCCACCACTTTGAGTACCTCTTATGATTGTAGAGGCCAAAGGTAACTTGTATTAATCTTATGATGTCTCAATACATTTAGTATTAAAATACTTATACGTTTTTATTTTCCTGATATATATATATGTTATATATATATATTGTATATATATATTTAGTGGACTCTGTATGTATATATGGCAAAACCCTATCTCAAAAAAATGTTTCTTTTTCTATGACCAGAAATGATTGTAAATGTCAGGCATGGTGGCACATGCCTGTAATCCCAGCAGTCGGGAGGCTGAGGCAGGAGGATTGTTGCAAGTTTGAGACCAGCCTGGGCTACAAAGTGAGCTCATGGCCAGCCTAAACTGCACAGCGAGACCTTGTCTCAAAAAGACCAAAAAAAAAAAAAAAAAAAAAAATTGTAGTATCAATATATAGTTATATAGGGCATTGTGGCACATGCTGTAGTCCCAGCTACTTGGGAGGCTGAGACAGGAGGATCATTTGGAGCCAGGAGTTCAAGGCCAGCCTTGGCAGCATGAGAGAAATTTGAACTTCTGATTATGAGTAAAAGTAACTCTATTGCCATAAATTGTATTCTAGAATTGCTTAATATTTTGATTAATATTTAGGCTGAATGTTGAATATGAAGCCTGTAAAGTGTTTATATTGACTTATATTAGAAAATTGCAGCTTTAGTCCCACACTGAATTGTATGGTTGCCACTTGGTGATATAAATAAAGTGCCCTCTAAGATCTCAGAGAATTGGAATATGTCTTTCTGAGAACTAAATTAATAGAAGCCTTTTTTTTTTTTTTTTTCCTTAAGTAAGAGTTGTCTAATGAGTTTGGGGAATACTAAAATTGGTAATCAGTGTACTTTAGATGTAATCTTAGGGAGATGATTCTGAAATGCAGTCAGAGTTTCATAAGTGGAAGTCTTGTTAATTTTATTGTCTCATCTTTTAGACAGTGTGAAAAGGAGGATAGTGATTAGCTCAGAAGATAGCAAAGAGAAACTCAAGTATCAGGAATTGGGCAACTGGCTTATTAGAATAAAGTTTTGGCAGGTATATTCTTACCTGGAAAGAGATAAGCTTAGTTTGATGTCATTAAATATTTGAGTCATATAATTATCTTGCCATGCTCTTTCCCTTGTTTATTCTAGCACCTTCTCTACGTAAGAGAATATACTCATCTGCTGATGAGAGTGTTCTAGTTGGCTAGACATTTGCATTTTTTTTTTGTACCAGGAATTGAACTCAAGACCTTGCACTTGCCAGGCAGGCACTTGTGCCACTGAACTATATCCGTATATATCCGTAGCCCCCATTTGCATTTCTTATCATGAAAAAATAAACTGACAAAAAAGTAAAGTTGAAAAACCTTCATGTCTGCATGTATGTGTTCATGGTTCTGTGAGCTTGGTTAAAGTAAATTGATCTAGTGAAAAAGATAATGCTGATGATTTTGTTACATCTGGTAATTTTTTTTTACAGCTAGTCCACTAGTATGGTAGTCTTTTGCCTTATGTTAGAAAACTACAACATTTAGCCCATTTAACTTGCATGGTTTCATCTGTAAAATGAGAATTCTAACCTAATGATTTTCACAGCCCTTCTACTTCTCAGTCTTTAAGATTTCATAATGTGTTTGCTGTATCACCACAGACCTATAGGTGGGAATTAAAAGAAATTTTAGAGTGTTGAAATATCATTAATATTACCAATATAACCTAACTTGCACTTTTTTTTTTCAAGACTGGGGATTGAACCCAGGAAGTACTAAGATATATCCCCAGGGTTTTTGTTTGTTTGTTTGTGTGTTTGTTTGGTTTTTTTTTGTTGTTGTATTTTTAAAATATGAGATCTGGTCTCAGTTGCCCAGGCAGGCCTCTAACTTGCTGTCATCCTGTCTCAGCCTCCTAAGTAGCTGGAATTACAGGTGTATGCCAGCACACCTAGATAAAGGTATTCTTTATTGTGGAAAATGTTAAACATGTATAAGAATAGCCCCACTTACTACCCATCAGCTCATCTCAATAGTCATGATCATTCTTTTTTGTTTATTTTTTTTATTTTTTTATTTTTTTGGTTTTTCTCCGGTACCGGGAATCGAACTCACGACCTTGCACTTGCCAGGCAGGCGCTTTTGCTGCTGAGCTAAATCCCCAGCCCCTTTTTTGTTTATTTTTTGATACAAGGTTTTGTGATGTAGTTTAGGCTGGCCTTGAGCTCCCTATGTAACCTAGGCTGGCATTGAACTCTGAAATTTTCCTGCCTCAGTTTCCTGTGTGCTGAGATTATAGGCATGCACCACCACACCCAGTGTCATAATCATTCTTCTTTCATTTTTTTCTTCTTCCCACTGTCCTACATTATTTTGAAACAAATCACAGACTTGATGTTTCTTTTTTTTAAATTTGAGACAGGGTCTCACTATGTAGGGCAAATTTAGCCTTGAACTCACTTACGTAGTTCATGCTGGCCTGGAATTCATAGTGATTCTCCTGCCTCAGCCTCCAAGTGCTGCGATTACAGGTCTGTGCCACCACTCCTGGCACAGACTTGATGTTAATCTGTCATTATTTCAGTGTGTATCTCTGAGTGGTTTATAAAGTGATGCACTGAAGAAATACACATATTAAAGAATGACATAATTTTCTTAAAGAATGACATGGGTTTGTTTTTTGAGTTTTTTTTTTTTTTTTGTACCGGGAATTGAACTCATGACCTCAGGCTTGCCAGGCAAGCACTTATGCCACTGAGCTACATCCTTGGCCAAAAATAACATGGTTTTGATAAGTTAATTTTACTTCAAAAACTACTGAAAATTCTCAAGAAACCTATATGTAGTTTCTATGCAGTTAAACTGATATAAAACAGTATGACTTTTTTGTTGTTCTTCTGTTTAATATTTAGGTTATCAATATGACGGCAGAAGAAACAGTGAATGTAAAAGAGGTTGAAATTATTAAGCTAATTTTGGACTTCCTGAATTCAAAGAAGCTTCATATTAGTATGTTGGCTCTTGAGAAGGAAAGTGGAGTCATAAACGGCTTATTTTCAGATGATATGCTCTTCCTGAGGTATGATTTCATTATTGCTGTGAGGTTTGTAGTTCCTTCAAAGAAATGTTAAGTATTAATAAAGCAAGGTATGTAATACACATAGAACTTTTATAATCAGGAAAGGCTGTAGAATTTTTTAACAGTAGTTACTTTTATAATGAAACATTTACAGAGTGCTATAATTTTTTCTGTAGGGTGTTTTGACTCAGATGTTTTAAAAAAACAAGAATCAAAACTTTATTGTGTTTGTGGTATCAATGTAAAAGGTTCTTGACTAGAAAATCAGAAACTATGAAAGGGCAAAGAAATACCATATTTTGGCCCTGTATGTAAAATCTATCACTGTACAAATATATTTATTATTAAAAATATAGAAAAATAAAGAAAAATCCACTTATCACCCAGAAAAAATTATGATTCCCATGCATATCTTAAAATAATAGCAATTTTGTGGTATATATATAATGTAGAGTTCTGCTTTATATTAAAAATTTTCAATTTTAATATATTTCTTAATTGTTCCCCTATTTTTAGACAATTGTGTCCTATTTTCTTAGACACTATATTGAGTAGATTTTATGCACAAAACTTTTCCTGAATCTTGGATTATTTTCTTAGGATGAGATTCCTAGGAGTAGACTTTCAAGGCAAAGGGAATTAACATGTTTTCCAAAATGGAAAGCCAGATATATCCCAACTTGAATTGAATGGAAAAAGAAAATCCCAGATTCCGAGGGAGAAATGTCTTCTATTTTTATGTGATAAATATCTTTGACAAGGAATGCATATTTGTGGAAAAAATGAAGTGTTCATCTGGGCCTGGTGGCTCAGACCTGTAATTGCAGCACTCTGGGAGGCTGAGGCAGGCCGATCATGACTTCAAGCCCAGCCTGGTCCCCTTGGAGGCATAGTGAGACCTTGTCTCAAAAAAAAGGTGAAGCGGGCTGGGGATGTTCACTGGGAAGGCTGTAGGTTCAATCCTCAGTACGGGGGGCATAGGGGACTTTAAGAAGCACAGACCTTTATTATATTATGGCAGTTATTTAAACTTGTTATATTAAACTTGTTATATTTTTTGTTGTGAATGTCATTTAGCCTCAGGGAACTTAGTGGTTTAGTTAGGAACTAGTACTGAGGCAGTGTTCTTTTTGGCCCTGTGTTTCAAGCACTAATACTTTTGGAATTTAGCAGTGGCTTTTAAGTACCCCAGGAACCTGTTGGTTTGTGATGAAATTTTTCTGGTCCAAGGGTGATATACACAGAACTATAGATAGTAAGTTTTTTCACTATACTAAATATATTCATGTTAAAGTTCTGGCCTTTGCAATTTGTTTTTTCCTGCTCTTTTAATACAAAAATTCCCCCTTATAAAATGATTAAGATATGTGTTGATTGGCTAGTAATATTCCTTCTTTGTAGAATAAAAAGTTGGCAATCTTATGTAGGTTCTCCTGCCCATTCCTCCTTTTTAAATTTTTACTATTTCAAAAAATCCATGCCTAGCCTTGTGACACATGCTGTAATCCCAGTTACTTGGGAAGTTGAGGCAGGAGGATTGCAAGCAAGGTTAGCCAGGGCTACTTAGTGAGACGGTAACTCAAAATAAAGACCTGGATTCAATCTCTACTACTGAAAAAAAATCTAAAAATAGTGCAGTTGTTATTGAAAAAGAAAAGGAAAGCAGGGTGTGGTGGTGCATGCCTGTAATCCTAGCATGTGGGGAGGCTGAGACAGGAGGATTACCATAAATTCGAGGCCAGCCTGGGCTACATAGTGCGTTCAAGGCTAGCCTGAGCTACATAGTGCGACCCTCCCTGTTGACCCTATTTCAGACAAAACAAAAACAACAAAACACAAAAAAGAAAAAAAGATAAGAATGCTTTCTAACTTTTCCAAGTTCTCATAGACCACTTACAGTAGGATAAAACTTACTCATGTTCCTTGCTCTTTTTATTTCTGTTCTTTCCCTATCACCTCCTTATTCATCCTCCTATTCCTTTTTTCTGGTGCTGAGTTATTTACTGTTTTCTTTTTCAGAGTGTAAACTTCATTTTTTTGTTTTTTTATTTTTTTGGACTCAAACTCAGGACCTTGCACTTACTAGGCAGGTGCTTGTGCTGCTAAGCTATATCCTAGGCCTAGTGTGAACTGTAGTGTCAAGTCCTCAAAGACATACACTTTACAATTTAGAGCAGAATTTCTCAACATTGACACTATTAAAATTTGGGCCACATAAATTTTTGTTTCATGTGTGTGAATGTGTGAGTGTGATACACATTGTGGGATGTTTAGAGGCACCCTTGACCTCTACCCACTAGATGCTAGTAGGACCTGTTTTTCCCCTGCAGTACTGAGGATTGAACTCAGGGCCTTTACACTGAGCTATATATATATCCATCACTTTTTTATTTTTTTGTTTCAAGGAAAGGTCTGACTGTGCCACCAAGATGCCCAGGCTGGGCTTCAACTCATATCCTCCTGCTTCAGTCTCCCAGAGTCCTGGGACTATAGGTGTGTACCACCACAACCAGCTACTACCCCCAGTTGTGACAACTAAAGTGTTCTCTGGGGGTAGGGGAGCACAAAATCATCCATAGTTGAGAGCCATTGATTTAGTGAGAGTAGAACCTGTCTGCATACTGTTTTGTTGAATTGTTCTGGTCCTGCAGATTGAATCCAGGGCCTTGTACATGCTAGGCAAGTGTTCTACCACTGAGCTTCACCTACAAGTTCTTAAATATATGTGCTAGTTTTAAAACTGTAAAGTGAATAGGGAAATTTTCTCTCTCTCTTTTTTTTTTTTTTTTTTTGTACTGGGAATTGAACTCATGACCTCAGTCTTGCCGGGCAAGTGCTTATGTTACTGAGCTATATCCTCAGCCCTGGATAGGGAAATTAAGGAACTTTTAGGCTTAGTCCAGTGTTACTACAGAAGTCAGACACCACATGTGTACTAATAGGAAGAGAAGTTGCAGATTCACAAATTCTTTTCATATAGCATATATTGTTAAAGTAGTATTTGAGAAACCAAGTTAATCTCATTATGTGCTTTATGAAATTTTGATGCTATTTTGTCTTATATCTTTAGTGTAACCTGATTTTGTTAACATTACAAATTTTTTTTTTTTAATTTAGGCAGCTAATCCTTGATGGTCAGTGGGATGAAGTTCTTCAGTTTATTCAGCCTCTGGAATGTATGGAAAAATTTGACAAAAAAAGGTAAGATTTCATCTGAAACTTCTAGTGTCATATCATTGGTAGGAGTATGGCAAAAAATACAAAAAATTAAAAATAAGACTCTTGGCTTTTCCTAGAAAATGTTACACTAGGTTCCATGGAGTTGATGTGCTGCTTTTTTTTGAGATAGCGTTTCACTATGCAGTTCAGGCTGGCCTTGAACTCACTATGTAGCCCAGGCTGGCCTTGAACTTGCAGTGATCCTCCTGCCTCATCCTCTCAAATGATGGGATTACACCACAGTTGGAGGTGGTGGTGCACCTCCAAGCCTGGCTTTTTTGATTTTTTTAAATTAAGTTTATTGGTATAATTTAGGTCTACAAAATGATCACATTTATCATAGGGAATTTGTACCTGTATATGATACATCTTGATTCATTTTTTTCTCCGTTCCCCTACCCTCCATTCCATCCCACTTCTCCTTCTTATTTACAAAGGTTTGTTTCCATTTTATCCTGCTCATTATTTTCCTTTCTTTCCTTTCCATTCCCTCCTCCCTAGTTCCCTTTTTCTTTTGCTTTTTTTTTTGTGGGTTTTTTTTTTTTTTTTTTTTTTCTGTTTTTTTTTCCAGTACCGGGAATCGAACTGACAACCTTGCACTTGCCAGGTAGGCGCTGTGCTGCTGAGCTAAATCCCCAACTCCTCCCCTTTCCTTTTGAATAGTTTCTTCCTGTTTCACAATTTCTGTTGTACATTCTGGTCCTTATTTATACTTTCTGTTTTTCACACCAGAGAAACAATGAGGTATTTATACATGTGTGTCCAATTTACTTCACTTACAGTATAGTCTCAAGGTCCATCCATTTAGCTATAAATCTGAAGTTTGTCCTTTATGGCTGAGTAGCACTCCATTGTATAAAACAGCCACATCTTTTTTATCCATTCATCAGTTGATGGGCATTTGAGTTGTTTCTAAGATCTAGCTAGTACAGACTGTGCTGCTATAAACATGGGTGTGTATATACATGGTTTGATGCTTTTTATTCTTTTGGGAAGATACTAAGAAGGAATAGCTGGGTCCAGTGGAACCTCCAATCCTAGTTTTGTTGAGGAATCTCCACACTGATTTCCACAGTGGTTGCACCAGTCCGACTCGCACCAACAGTGGAGAAGAGTTCTTTTTCCCCTACAGCCATTTCTATTAGCCAGCACTTGTTATATGTTGATTTTTTGATAATAGCCATTCTTTCTGGAATGAGTTGGAATCTCAGCATTGCTTTAATTTGCATCTCTCGAATGACAGTATGTTGAGCATTTTTTCATATATTTATTAGCTATTTGTACTTCTTCATCTGAGAAGTGTGTTCCTTTATTTTTGTTAAACTTTTTTTCCATTTTTTGTTTTTATTGAGATAGGGTATAACTTGATATATACCTCAGTCTGATTTTGAACTCGTGATCCTCTTGTCTTAGCCTCTCAAGTGCTAGAATTATAGGCATGCACTGCCATGTCTAACCTTTGTATTCTTTATTATTTTTTAAAGTTTATGTATTTTTTGTACCAGGGATTGAGTACAGGGCCTTTGCACCAAGTTATGTCTCCACTCTCTGTTTATTTTTTTATTATGAGACAGGATCTTGCTAAGTTGTGATCCTCCTGCCTCAGCCTCTCCGAGTGGTGGGATTACAGGCAGGAACCACAACACCTAACCTGTAGTCTTTATTCTGAATTTTTTTCATTGATATAATGTTCACTGACACATCTGTTAGCAATCTGATTACAGTGAAGTTTCTATTTCAGATATTGTAATTTTCAGTTTTAAATTTTTTGCTAAGTTATTCCTATCTGTTCATTCATTATGATTATATTTTCTTTCAGTCCTTCAACATATTTATAATAGCTGCTGTCCTTGGTTATTTTCTCATTATTTGGACAAAATACTCAACATCCACAAGTTAGAGGTGGAAAGGTTTATTTTACCTCACAGTTTGTAGAGGTTTCAGACCATAGTAGGCTGGCTCCAAGGTAGGGCAGCCTGGCAGAGGGGCATTGCAGAGGAGAAACAGTTTATGGATGGCATGGCAGGCAGGAGGCAATAGCCTTCCGCTTTTCCTTTCATTACATCCAGGCTAAAAGCTTATTGTATGGTGCCACCCACACCCGGAGTGGGTCTTCTCTCATGAGTAAATCCATCACCCACACCCAGAACTGTGCTAAACCAATCAGTGGATAAGTACAGTGTCACACACCCATGACCCATTCACTCCCCAAAGCCCCACCTGTGAGCACAGGAGGCTTTCAGGGGACAAGCTGCCACAGCTCTTATTTGCTAGTGTTAGTCCTTGTTTGCTAATTTGAACATTAATCCTATCAGACTGAGTTTCTAGAAATTTCCTTTTTTTAAAAAAATCCAGTCATTTTGTAAAACTATTCTGCCCACTGTAGATTCATTCTTTTTTTGTTTTGTTTTTTGTTTTTTGAGACATAGTCTTGCTATATAATATAATTCGGGCTGGTCCTGAACTCACTGTGTACCCCAGTCTGACCTCAAACTCATGGTGATCCTTCTATACCTCAGCCTCCTGAGTGTTGGGAATATAGGTGACCAGCCAATCAAACAAAAAAGAAAAACTAGTAAAGTTCTGCTTGTGTTCTAACTCACTGTGCAGACTGGGGAGTGCTTTCCTCTGAAAAGCCTTATACCCTTGAATCTCAATCCCTAAAGTTACCTTTTTTCAAGTTAGCTTTTCCCCCTCTAGCTGGGCCAGCTTTTGATTATTATGCAATGTGTTCAAATAGTTATTCTTTTGTGTGTTTTGTCTAGGGCTTAGCCTTGTTATTTAGTCATATATAAATTATCAGATATAAGTTACTCTAGCATTTCAGAAATTAAAAAACAATTTTATTAGTATATGTTTGCGGTACATAATGATTACATTTATTTTGAGGCATTAAGATACACATAATGCATCATAATTATTTTTACTTTCCTTTCCCCCTCCCCTATTAATAAAGTTGAACCTCATATTACTTTGTCATTTAAAAGTTGCCCAAGCCAACTTTCTTGATAATCTTCTGTTAGCTGAGTCTTATATGTCTTTTACTTTTGCGTTCTTTTTTTTTTTTGGTACTGGGAATCGAACTCATGACGTCAGGCTTGTCAGGCAAGCACTTATGCCGCTGAGCTACATTCCCAGCCCTGGGTTTTCTAGTAGGATTGGTTTCATACTCCTGTAAGACTTTGCCGAACCCTATATATACTTCATATTAATTATTTACGTATGTATGTATGTATGTATGTGTTTTTCCTGTACCAGGAATTGAACTCACGACCTTGCGCTTGCCAGGCGAGCACTGTGCCGTTGAGCTAAATTTCCAGCCCGTCATATAATTTATTAGGTAACCTTCTTGTTAAAGCTACAGATTGTTTTTTATTGGATGTTTTGGTTTTTTTGGTACTGGGAATTGAACTCAGGACCTTGCGCTTGCCAGGCAGGTGCTTGTGCCACTGAGCTATATCCCCAGCCCCTGGACATTTTGTTTTATTGGGTGTTATATACAACAAAGGCTGAAAGACTGACTCAAATTTCATTATTTGTTTTCAATACTTAGAAACTTTGTTTAAAGTGCTTAAAGGCATCAGATTTACTTTGATTCTTTTTTCTCCTTTCTCTTCCTTTAAAATCCGTTTTAAAAAAAATCCCTGTTAAAAAGTTTTAAATCTGTAGTTATGTGACTTTTTATAAATGTTCATTTTTTTCCTACCCTTTCTTTTTCTTTTTTTCTTTTTGTCTTTTTGAGACAGGGTCTCACTATGCAGTTCAGGCTGGCCTTGAGCTCACTCTGTAGCCCAGGCTGGTCTCGAACTCCCAAGGATCCTCCTGCCTCAGCCTCCCTAGTGCTGGGATTACAGGCATGTGCCACCACACCCGGCTTTCCTACCCTTTCTGCTCCATTTTTATTAGACTTTCCTAATATTTAAAAGAAAAACTTCTTTGTACACAGTGACAAAACATAATCGTTGTATCCTGTCAATACATAAAATTCCTTTAAACATTAATACAATTAGAAATTTTTAAATGACAAAAATTCATTTTGAATATATAGAACTTTGATTTCTAATTAGGTCACATTTGACATCTTCCATAAAAAATTGGATTTTTGTATAGAATTAATATTAGATCTAAAAGTCCTTCCTCTGTTAAATTGTAATTATTTGTGACTGAAATTATTTTAGCTGTGCCTCCAATGTGATAAAAAGCTTAGTAAAGTATCTTAATATCTGGAAAGCAAAGTTTTGCTTATACTAACTTGTAAAAGTGTTTTTGACTTATTAGACCTTGCACAATTAATTTTTTAAAAGAACTGTCTTCTAGAAGAGTAATTAGTCCTTTAAAGCAAATGTACTTGCCTAGCACATGGGAGGCCATGAGTTCTATCCTTAGCATCAACCAAATCAGGCAATCAAAACTGGCCTGTTTTGCTTAAGAAACTTAAATTTCTTGTCTTTCACATTGCTACTATTGAGCTTTTTAATCATTCTAATGTTTTGGTTTTTTCCACAGGTTTCGTTATATTATCCTGAAGCAGAAGTTTTTAGAGGCTTTGTGTGTTAACAATGCAATGTCAGCAGAAGATGAACCTCAGCATGTAAGATTTTTATTCCTGAAGGTTTGCGCCATAGTCTTGTTTTCAGTTTTAAGTATTTTATTCACTAAAAAGATTGTTGTCATAGTTTTCAAAGTTCTTTTTTTTTGTAATACAGTATCGTTTTTATTTTAGTTAACGGAAACAATTTATAAGTACAGGTTGCAGAAAGAATTTATAGGTACAAGTTCGGTGCTGTTTACATTCCTTTAAAAACTCTGCTCTAGAGGCTAGGGATATAGCTCAGTAGTGCAGTGGCTGCCTGGCAAGTGCAAGGTTCTTAGTTTGATTCCTGGTACCCACACAAAAAACAAAAAACAAACAAAAAACTCTGCTCTAAACAAATTTAATTCTGATCAGTATGAGCAATATTTTTGTAGATCCACTTGCATGTAAAATCTTTTCATCAAAGGATTAAAAATAATCTGATTGCATTTAAAGAAAACTGACCATTTGAAAATATAATGCTTGTGAGGGTCACAAACACTAAGTATAGAGCATAATGTCAGCCTGCAACTTCATTTTTAAAAAGGCTAAAGTTACTTATGTGGAAGATTGTTCTATATACTACATGCCAATCTATATGTAAGTTCTGTGGTCAGGTATTTTATAAGTTGTTTATTAAATATATTCTACACATATTTGTAATTTCATCCAGGAATATTTCTTCCTAGAGAAAAATATATAAAATCTTTCTTATTTTTTACAGGTTTAGATGAAACTAGTTCATGCTTTAGTGCTGATTGTCTTTAGCAAATCAGTCCATGCTTTAGTGCTGATTGTCTTTTGCAAATTGTCTGTAGCATATCAGTCTTTAAATGAGTGATTTAAAATACATGATTAAGGATGCAACTCTTGTAGTTCTCAAAGTTTTTATGAGCAAGGTTGGGGCAGTATCTGCTACTTTGAAGATTACTTTAATCTGTGGTACTTCTAAACTTGTTCTGTGATTTAAAACAAAATGATGTGTGAATAGGTGGCTAGCTGGAAGGGTATGTGTTCCTCTCTTTTTTTTTTTTTTAAAGAAGTAGATATTTGATTTATTAGTCATCGTTCTTTTCTCATTCTTGAAGTGGGTTGGTTACGTTTACCTTTTTCTGGTTTTCGGTCCCTTCCTCCTTCCATCCTTTCCTTCTTTCCTTTCTCCCAGGCACCTTTGCACTGCACTACGTCTCCATACCTTTTGTTTTTTATTCTTTTTATTTTGAGATAGGGCCTGGTTAAGTCATTAAGTTACCCAGGCTGGGCTTGAACTTGTGTCTCAACCTCCAAAGAGTGTTAGGATTACAGGTGTTTGCCACCATGCTTTTTTCAATGTTTTGTTTTGACCCAGATTGTCATTTTTTGGTGAAATGTTGTCTTTATGAGAATTTAAATTCAATAATAGTAAACTCTAATGAGTCCTTGATTGATCAATATTGCATGTCTCTGTTTTCATGAGAAACCACTTTGAAGATATCAATATGTAATACAACAAGCATTGTTAATTTCCTACTTTGTTTGTAACTGTCTGTACTGTTGTTTGGCTATTTTGTAAAAGGTTGTCTGTCTGTTAATGTTTTCCTCCTTTTATTTTTAAAATAAAAAAAAATATTCATTTTTATTACATAGTTACTTTTAAGGTTTCACCATTGATATGGTCACATCTAAAACCAAGTAAATTTTTGTAAGTTCCAGTAAATGTTCATGGAAAAACTGTCTTAGTCTGTTTGTGCTGCTATTACAAATATAATCAACAAAAATTTATTTCTCACAGTACGAAGCTGAGAGGTCCAAGATCATGGTGCTGACAGGTTCACTGTCCATGAAGGGGCTTGGTCTGTGGTTCATGCATGTCACTTTCTAGCTGTGTCATCACATGGTGGAAGAGCTTGCTTTTGGGTTCTCTTTTGTAAGGGCACTAATCCCATTCATGAAGTCTTATGACCTCGCCACTTATTCACTTCATTCATGAAGTCTTATGAGCTCTTATGACCTCGCCACTTCTTAAAGGCCCTGCTCTCCTTATCACGGTGGAGCTTAGGATTTCAACAAATTGAGGGGATACCAACATTTAGACAATAGTAAAAACCAAAGGATATTACAGTAGGGACTTTTCATATATAACAGAGAAGTGTTTGTCCAGTAATGATGTTCTAAAGTGGAACATGAATCAGAAAGACTTTTATTCTCTTTGTTACTAATGAAGTCTGTATTTTTCCCATATGTAAGATAGGAGACTGAACTTTTAAAGTACTATACCTTGACAGTGTTCACTACACAGATTGAACTAGTTTGGCTCTTAGCTAAGCTTCCTTTTTTTCTATCTCTGGACTGTTGTTTTTGTAGTAAAGGAACTGTTAATGTTCCCTTTTTTTGTTGACTTTCTTTCCACATACAAATTTGTCCTAAGACAAGTTGAAGCAAAGAAAATGACTCTTGCTTTGTGGATAAGCCAGACAAAAAGCTTCTGTGCTTGACATGCTTCAGTTTTCACTTATAGAAAAGTCAGTTTTTCTCACCTTTAAAAAGTTATACATTTGAAAGTAATAATTTTAAGCCTGAATTAGAACATTGTTTTTATAGATAAAAGCTTAATGTGCTAATTAACAGAATTATTTGTTGTTTTTACTTTAGGTATGAAAATACTTTGGTTTTGAGTTGAGAATTGTTACATATTCTACAAATTATGTGTGTATTCTGTGGCATTGTAATTTGCCATTTATATTCTCTTTCAGCTTTCCTATTTCGCTATTAATACTGATCTGTTACATTTTTCTCTTCTTATAATGATCATTTCTATTTTTTTCCAGCTGGAATTTACCATGCAAGAAGCTGTGCAATGTTTACATGCTCTAGAAGAGTACTGTCCTTCTAAAGATGACTATAGCAAGCTCTGTTTGCTTTTGACTTTGCCTCGTCTGACCAATCATGCTGAGTTTAAGGACTGGAATCCCAGCACTGCGCGAGTGCACTGTTTTGAAGAGGCTTGTGTCATGGTTGCAGAATTCATCCCTGCTGACAGGAAGCTAAGTGAGGCTGGTTTTAAAGCAAGTAGCAATCGTTTATTTCAGCTTGTAATGAAAGGCCTACTTTACGAATGCTGTGTAGAATTTTGTCAGAGTAAAGCAACTGGAGAAGAAATTACAGAAAGTGAAGTACTTCTTGGCATCGACCTTTTGTGTGGTAATGGTTGTGATGACTTGGATTTGAGCTTATTGTCATGGCTTCAGAATCTCCCTTCTTCTGTGTTCTCTTGTGCTTTTGAGCAGAAGATGCTTAATATTCATGTTGACAAACTTCTGAAACCTACAAAAGCTGCATATGCTGATCTTTTGACTCCTCTTATCAGCAAACTTTCTCCATACCCATCATCCCCAATGAGAAGACCTCAATCAGCTGATGCCTATATGACCCGCTCTCTGAATCCCGCTTTAGATGGCCTCACTTGTGGATTAACCAGTCATGATAAGAGAATCTCAGACCTTGGGAACAAAACTTCTCCAATGTCACACTCCTTTGCCAACTTCCATTACCCAGGGGTACAAAACCTCAGTAGAAGTCTCATGCTTGAGAATACAGAATGTCACAGTATTTATGAAGAATCCCCTGAGCGGTAAGCATTTGCTCATAAAAATTAGGTAATAGCCATCAGTGTAAGGTAATCTGATTGAGTTGGTGTGTATTTTTCTCCATGTTCAAATACCTTTGAAGTTAGTCCTTAAAACTTTTAGAAAGGGTGTTTAAATTTAGATAACTAAAATTATAAGAGAACAACATTTTTTATGTCATTATTCATTTATTTTATTTATTTATTTATTTTGTCTTTTTGAGACAGGGTCTTGCTATGCAGTTCAGGCTGGCCTTGCTCACTTTATAGCCCAGGCTAGTCTCGAACTCACAATGATATGCCTGCCTCAGCATCCCAAGTGCTGGGATTACAGGCATGTGCCACCATGCCCAGCTATTCTTTCACTAGGTATAAAGGCAACAGATATGCAGTGAAGAAAATTGGGATAATATAAAAAAGTAATAGGATGGGAATTAAATATCACACAATCTCACACTTAGGTGAGTAGTTTTTTTTCCCCCTGCAAATACATTTCTTTTAGATTTGGGAATATAATGTGTATATTTTCGATTAACCTTTCTTCACTTGGAAGATTATGAATATTATCCTTATTCCTAAACATTGCTTGAGATTAATATGATTAATGGTAAGTATACAATATTCTATTATATAATTATATTATGTAGAACTAAGGTGGTTTCCACTTTTTTCTCCTAAATAGTATTGTGGTGAACATATATGTATGTAAAACCCTCTATTTCCACTTTTCATTTATCTTTCTTTCTTTCTTT